TAGCGAGTAGGATTGAAGAGTATCTCGGCGTTCTTTCGGCTGGCCTGTTGTCAAAGGAGCTAGCTGGGTGCCGTGCGATGGCTTTGGGAGTTGGAGAGCCAGCGGCTGCTTTCCTGTCTCGGGGCCCCATGGTCGCAATGTCTGGTATTCGGGAAAGGAAATCGGCGGTGTATTGCCGACTGACATGCCCGAGTCGCGATGGGGGTGTAGGGTATGCTCTCGGGCATGATTGTCTCGCTCGTCCTTGTTGTGGAAGCCGTAAATGTAATGTATGCAGCGCTCGTCCCAGCACTTGAAAGAGGACGTGGACCGGGACGACGGTGACAAGCTTTCCCTCATCTTCCATCCACGGACTACCGGGTCGTGGCCTTCAAGATTACGGTCTAACCAAGCCGCATAGCCAGTCGGCGCTTCGTCATACAGGGATCGTTTAAGGGCATCTACCATGTTTGGGTCCAGCAGATCGTGGCCTAGAAACTATGTTAGAAACTGGCTGCGAGGCAATGTCTGAGCAGGACGGGAGCAATTCACCTTGCTCTAAGCAAGCAGTCTCTATACATTCGCATCGGTACTGCAATGACCTAGCCTCCTCAAACTCAGAATTGATTGGTATGTTGGCAGAAATATCTATGAGCATGGTTAGTCGGACGATTGAGAGGGAGACCAGGCAAGACATTATTGGAGCGTGGCATCTTACGGTGATGATCAGAGTAGGCTTGTAGAACCCGCAACTTGTGGCGGAGCATGTCAAGTTCCAACTTGGCATTGAGGCCATACTTTGCGGGCAGCAAGGCAGCAAGCCGTGCTTGAATCTCGGCCTGCTGATCGAGAAGTTGTCGGATGGCGCTATCGAGGCCGGGATCGGTGAGGTCGGCGGCCATTCCTCCCGGGCCACGAGGACGTCCTCCTCCCACCAACGACGACGACAGTATGGGCGTACTCGAGAATTGTAGTGGACAAGGCGCAAGGAGAAATTGCACAAGTAGACATGAGTTGTCGTCTGCTCTGCTTCTCAAAAAGCCGTTTCGTTCACACGTCGATGTGAGTGGTTCGGGTGCATCAGATACAAGCTTTTAAGAATCGATTCACGCCGTTTCTCAAATCCTCTCTAGTTGTAGACGCAATGTGCATATCATCAGTCGTTGGGAAGGCGTCTAGGGGTGATGCTATCGATGTTTTGGCGTTGCTTTTTGTTGGCGGTTTTGCCGCGGGCGTTTTTTGTGTAAGATTGGAATGGAGTAGGCATGTATGTGATGGTCGGGTTCATGCTTTTTCTAAAAAATTGATCAATGGGTACCGGTTAGTATGTTGCATGCTGTTGCTCGCTTTTCTTCCCGGCATCCGCAGATCTTTCTCTGTCTTTGGCGGATTCGAGTTATTTCCAACTTTTTTTTGCCTCATTCCCACCAGGGGTGGTTCGTCAGGATCGAGCGAGGTGATGTAAGGTACAACAAGCGAGACTTTCGCAGCTTGCTTGGATGAGCGGGACCCTTGATCGAGTTTCCATTCCAGTTCCAGGTCTAGCTTCAGGTCCAGATCTAGCTCCAGTATCCAGCTCCAATCCACAAGTGGCTGAGATGTCAGCGAGCGAGAGGCAGGTGGTGGTGGTAGCTGCTGCTGGTATGCGGTCTCCGGTTTTGTTTCCGATGCAAGCTTGGTCCTCACTGCCGCTCAGGTTTCCGTCTCTATTTTGGGTCGTCCTTGGAAGAAGAAACACACAGTGCACAGGCGCGAGACGAAGGAGAGAAGAGAGAGAGAGGGAGAGGGAAGAGGAGGAAGAAGAAGAAGAAGAATGATGCAGAGAGATTGTGAAGAATTGGACAGGACGGAAAGAATTCAGGGCAGGAATCTCGGTATGGTGGGTTTGAGGGTCGGATTTTGGCGGGAATGGTCTGAATAGCGAGTGAGAGCACCGTACCCGATCGCGGTGCTGGTGTGCTCCTCCCTCATTGGGGAGACAGGACCTTTTATTGCCTTGTTACCAGGCCAGGGTTCATTTGGGGAAGTGGGGCTATCGTGGCTAACGGTCTTGTAAGGTAGATTAGAGCAAGATATGGAGCAGAGCAACGCGACGGCGAGCAAGCTGCAAGTGCAAGAGAGCAGCAGGGCAAGGGTGGAGAGAGAGAGGCGACGTGATGCTGGTGTCCCGTCGGAAGACAGAAAAAAAAAAAGGGACCCCAGCTGGGTTCTAGTTTGGACCTGGAAAGGGAGGGGGGGGGGGGTGGTTTGATTACAAAATTGAGAAACGGTGCCACAGGGGAGACGACGGGTTGAACGGCGGACAACAGACAACAGACAATGTACGGATATTATTGTTGATGGTCCGGCCTGACAAGTAGATGGTAAGGACACCGTGACAGAGGCTGACAGAGAGGAAGAAGAGGGTGAGAAGGCAAAAGGGAGAAGAACACCAGAAGAAGAAAAAAAGAAAGAGGCTGGATGCACCCACTCTACACGCAGCGTAGCAGTTTGGGGGACGAGGATGGGGATGAGCCCAGGACGATGAAGACCAAAGACCAGGACGGGTGAAGAGCAGCGACAGGTCCAGCTGGGATCTGGCAGGGTGTCTTTTGCTTTGCCGCCTTGCGCAAACAGGCAATTGGATAGAGCAAGGTAAGGAAGGTACCTCATCCACAACACACCTCAATTACCTAAGTACCTCGTTGCCTTCCTTGTCTTTGGACCTTGGGTAAAGCGTAGCTGACAGATATGGTTGGCTGTGAGGCAAGCACACGGTAAGATATCCCAAGGCCTGGAGGGATTATGGGTGCTGATGATGGATATGGATACCTTATGGATATGATGACGGGACGGAATAGCTAAGGAAGGAAATAGGGAAGGTCTTGAAACTACCATATCCGTACCTTGCGAAGTACGAGGTAGCCAGCTGCCTCGCCTCGCTTCTTTCATAAGGTACCTACCTACCTTTACCTTATGTTCCATCCCATTGCTAATAGTCCTCTTTCCCATGTCCATGTTGCACCTTCTCCCGATCTTCTATCTCTTTCCTACCTATGTCAGGTACCTGCTCTAAGGTAGGAGGGTTAGTAGGTCGTTTACTCCTTGCGCTCTCCTCACCTCCACCCCTCCGCCCCTTCCCCAAGCATCGACGGAATGCACATCACTCGCGAGGCAGGTACTGTACTTCCAAGCCCCAAGCCGAGTAAAGTAATGTACGATACCTCACTTCAGCTTGTCACGTAAGGTAAGGGGCTGTGTGGCTGTGGGTGTTCAAACTTGACCCATAGATCTCACTGATACCCGCAATGATTGTGACCAACCTAACGTCCAACCCGTACTCCGTACTCCGTACCCTTCAACGTTTGCCTCCTGCCGGCCCTGATTCCGTCGAGCCCTTCAGCAACTTCCCTCTTTTATCTGACCCCTCCCATCCATTCCGCCCGCTTCTTCTCGTCCCTAACTTGCCTCACTAGTGTACCTTGCTGTCCGCCACTTGGAATAACCCTAATGAACCGCATGCCTTCAGCACCAACACCTTATCCTTCCCGATTCAGTTGATTTCGCCAACCACAGACACCACCGTAGACATCAGCTGCTCCCCAAAATTCGACTACCTCGCCACGGGATATCCCTGGATCTTGTATCAGGGGCCTCCCGTCCCAAGGATGAGTGAGGTACTTTACTTCCTAATCAGGGCACGTTGTTCCTCGTCGTACCTTATGCCTGCCGGCGCAATCATCACCGGCATCATTCCATTATCTGCTTCTGCACTGACGAGCCCATGAACAGCACCAAACAGTCTCATGGACGGTCGTATTTCTCCTTTTCTCTAGCCTCGGTGCCGCTCTTTGACAGTCTACCCTTCACTACGCAAAAGGTACAGACGACTACCAATAGTCCATCCTTCTCCATCTCGCTGGATGCACTGTGGGAGACTTCGGCCGCCATCCGACCGATGTTTATCCAAGGGTCTCTCATTGTACCCTCACCGTACCTGCGCATCCCATCCACGGCCGATCAGACACCATGGACGGTATGCTTACCTTGCCCCATCTTGGCTCGCCTGGCAATGCCGTCCCTATCGTCTTTCTGTTTCCACGATCAGCCTGAGGTGTTTATGATGCTCTCGAAACTACCGCTCTCCTAATTCCATTGATCCCTCTTCTCTCTTACTCCCCCAGGAAGAGTCGATAGTCGACCAGTGGCAACACAATCCGCATAACTGCGCCATGGTCATTGCTGGATCTAGCAGGTAAGGCGAGGGCGGACTTATCGAGCATATGTTGGCCTCGCACGCGTTACGCCTCTTATCAGCTCCCCCTTCGGCCTTACCTCGCCCGTCTCCCATTCAATGACGCCCGTCTTGGAACCGTACCGCCCTCCCCTCCGATTCGCAAGGGGGCATGGGCCACAACCAATGCACACACCTCGAGTCCCCGTTGTCTGGCATCCCACACCCCCGCCTCATCCCAGCTACTTCCCTACCAAGTTACATTAGCCACTTGCTTGACTGGTTAGCGTCCTAACTCTTTTGAACCAGCAGCTCGCAACAGACCGCGTTTCTGTCCCGACTGCCTTCAAGCCGCATACCGTCCCCGTGGTCGCAGCGCAACCTCGAGCTGCTTTCATGATGACTGCTACTACGTACATCACGGCATCTCGAGCTACTGCGGGCTGTGGAGAGAGAGAGAGAGGAGAAGGAGAGGGACAAGAAGTTCACAGCCGTTGTGTCGTTGAGGGGGGTGGTCAGCCGCCGCACACACTCTCAATTAACCACAACCAGTCTGGCACATTTGCCTTCCACCTCCAACCCCTTGAGCCTCGACCTGTCCCATGAATCCTACTCTTACCTTCTGGTAGGGTCTTCTGGTAAGTCTTGTTCTTTATCGCTTTATTTCCCGCCTTGCGAGTGGAGGCGCTGAGGAAAAAGGCAACCAGAGAGACTGGCAAGTGAGGGCCTCTCGGAGAAAGATACTACTTACCTAGTGTGTGTACACAGTACTTCTTAGAGAGCCCAGAAAGCTCCATCCAACGGGTTCATGGGGCCCATGAGCCTGGCTGTGGGCGTCGACGACGTGGGGCCGCTTGCGCCATCTCCGACTCCCCGACCGCCGGCCGCTGGCCCCAAGTCAAACAAAAGCCGACTAGTAACAGGGAGAGAAAAATATCAGACGAGACCAGACTAAACGTCTGTTTAGCCTTATTGTCTGTCCGTCGCCTCCGTCCTGTTTGTGTACCCTTCGGCTTCGTCTCGAGCCAGTCCGTCTGCTCCTCGCACGAGTCTTGACGTCTGTCAGCTGCATTGGCAGCCCATAACCACTCGCTGCCCTGACCGTTCAAGCTTTCCCTTCAGTACTTTAGCGAGTAATCTTCCTCGCTGGCGAGAGCTCAACTACCGTCTACGAGAGCTCGCTTCTACGTCGCAATTGTGTACACTACGCAGCAGCCAGCAATGCGCTCCATGGACTGCTGAGCCTGGCCTGGCCTGGCCTGGCTTTCCCTCAGGCTTTTCGCTCGCTAGTGCAAGCTTGCAACGTCAGGTTCTATTCGGGTTGGGGGCGGTTCTCGAAGCATCACGCGAGTGCAGGGGGATCCCTCTGTGGGCAAGAAATTGCGACATTTCCGCCTTGCCTGCCAGTCTGCGCAGCCACCAGCCTGCGCAACAGCTCTCCGCCGCAGCTCTTAGAAGACAGCCCTGGCTGGTCTTCGCCTCGAATCTCATCTCGCTCTGTCTCTCGACGACGCGGGTGTTTCCCGTCATAAGCGCACTTAGAAGGCACCTGGAGCCAAACCCACGTCTCTATGACCACGCCCACGCCACACGGGCCAGCTTGCTAGGCTCCACGTGGGCCATGGAGTCCGTGGTACGATGCTGGGGGGCAGTCCCGGCAGAAACAAGCATGTGCCGAGTCACCGTTACAACCTGCAGATAGCTGCTGCGGGTGACGGCGAAAGGGGTGGATCACAACCACTGCTTGCTGAGAGCAAACCTGCCCTTAAAGCAGCGACAGACATGCAGCGTCGACCGTCACACGGCGGATGGGGTTGGCCGTGCCAGGCTCTCGGCCTTAGGCCTGACAAGCGGTCTCTCGATCGAAGCACGACGACTGGACGGACGATTCTCTTGGAACCCTTCCCATGCCTCTTTTCCCCCCTCCATTTCCTGCCGCTATCCTCTTGGACGAAGTCAAAAGTCACTTGGATGGAGAATGTGCGAAGCAAGATATTGGACAAGTCGCAATGCTCTGTAATCGTACAGAACGTCTCGGACACGAGGCCAACTTGACCACATCCTTTCTTTGCAGCAGAAGGTCTGGTCCACAGTCGTACGCGTCGGTTCATCATCTAACATGGTCAAGACAACTTACTTGAAGAGCCGAAAACTCTCCTTGGACAACACTACTAAGCGATATGAAGTTGGCCGTTGCACACAGGGGAGAGTTCAGCCCGACTAAGAGGGCCCGCAAGACATCGAATAGACCCTGTTCACGGTGAAGGGCACGTAAAGTTCAACAATACTCAAATGTTCGCGGCTTGAACTGCAATAGCACCATGGTTAGACCATGATGCCCTGGTACGTGCTCATGGCTCGTTCGCCATGGCACATGAGCCGTGTCTTGCCATGAAGTCAAAAAGTTTTCCAAGGTAAGGATGTCGCTAGATTTTGAGTTGTGGTTGATGAATGCAGGAGATGAGGAGCACGCAGTCCATACTGCGTATACCCGTCACTGCCCGTACCATACCTGGCAACCCTGGCATCCTCCTGGCCGGTTGAATTGGTATTCAGAGGTTGCTATTTGGCATTTCCGGAACGTTAGTTGGTCGGACGTTTTCTACTGTACGGCAGACTTTGTATCGACATGAATAACCCCCCGATGAATCTCGGGCCATCTGCTGGCTCTGGTTCGGTCCAGTGGGGGAGTTCATCCTCCTGGCAAGCCAATTAGTTCTGGCCCCCGGCAAGTAGTAGGTATCCTGATCCCTGGATCCGGTACCGAATAAGACATCATCGTACAGGACGGCAAATTAGTCAAATAAGCCGCGTGAACAGATGGCAACGTACCCCGATGCCAAGTAGACGGCCGAGGAGTCTCATCAATAATAATCTGGCAATATGTCAGGGTCACCTCGGGCGCCGACACGTTTTCGTAACCCTCTGGCAATTTAGACGTTCCGCCAGATTTGATTTTCGAAGAGGCTCACCGGCGAAGCCTTCACCCGTTGTTTCGATCTGCTAGTTCCACGCGCGTCAGAAGCAGCACGGTTGGCCCAGCGGCTCCAGCCTTCGAAACGAAACCTCTGTAAAAGGACAACAGGATGGGATGGAAAACAGCGGAATTACTGCCCCGTCACCAGGCTTCCTAGTCTTTTAGGTTTCTCGTCAATCTTGACTACCCGCCTGTCTCATTCCAACAGAGACACGAGCGAGGCAGTGGGCTGGCTGCCTCTCGAGCCCCTCCTCGATCTTCACGGTCGGCTCGACAGATCTCGATTGGACAGCGCGTACCCGCGAGCGAGTCGTCTGTGTCACTGTCAGTGCTGTGCTGCTTGCCGATGTTGTTATTATACGCAGGCATGCAGTCTTATGGCCATACACTATTGCTGGTTTTGAGCATCTTTTATACTCAGCCCTAAACAAAATACCTTTTGCTGTCGTTGATTGTGTGTCTAGGTCAGGCAAGGTACGGACGGCGTGAGGTTGCCAGGTCCTCTAGACACCCCGCCCCCAAACGCCAGCATTCGTCTCGTCCACGATCAATAAGTTTGGTCTCTGTATCGGCAACGACGCACTGATGACAATATGGAGGGCACAGAGATCGATCCCCATCAAATGCCCAGACGCCAGAGATGTGGTCAGTGCTGAGGCTGAAAATAATGAGGAGAGAAGGAAGGGCAGGGTGTGTGCAGCTCTGCTTGTCCAAGCTCTCCCCCCCCCCCCCCTCCTCTCTCTGTCTCTGTCTCTGTCTCTGTTTCTCTATGTGTGTGTGTCTCTCTCTCTATCAAGGTATCCGTATCCGTAAGGCAGGAATGAATGAGAACGGGAGCTTGGAAGGGGTGAGTGCGTTCCATTCTAGGGCAGGGTGCTCCGTACACATACAGACTGACAGAGTACGAAGTAATACGGGTAGGTACGAAGACGGGTAAGGTGGGCAGAATTTCCTCAATTTTAGCATGTGCTTGCAGCTCGCAGATATCACACACACACACACACACACACACACACACACACACACACACACACACACATACGACGCTGCGGGCCACATATGTTGCTTTCTTTTTTGTATTTTTCAATACTGACTCTATTGCAGCAGTTCCTATCCACTTACTTGACTCGCGGCAGGCAAATGGACAGACGGTGGATACTGTACACTGTATGGAGTACCAGAGGTTGGATACTGCGTAGGTACGGATAGACCATACGGATTACCTAGATGCGCAGCTAGAGAGAGAGCTCTGAGCTTCCGCCCAGCGGCTATGGCCCATAGCGCGCCCAATTCAATCCGTGTGGCTGGTAAGACGGTTTGGATTTTGGGGGCCAAACGGGGGGTCCAGGGGGAGGGGGGTTTGAGGTAGGTTGCCGTCGTCTGCTCGCCCGAAAAGGGGACCGTCGGGTATCCTGGGCCCAGTTCGGGGGGGCCACGGGGGGTGGGCTATTGATAATACCTTGCTGCCAAACATGTTTCTCGGACTTCAGTCTTAATCGGGTCCAACTCTGGGTTGGAGACTTGGAGTCAGTCTCTCGTCTTGGAGTCGTTCTTGGAGGCTTTCTTGGGGTCGCCTAGCGCAGGAGACTGAAAGCATGATCTCCTTGGCAGCTCAGCAGCATTTTCTTCGATCCAAGTACACTGCTTAGTTACCAGGTACGTCCGTATCTTCATCATTTGAGGTATCTCACTCCATGTAGCCCGAATCCCATCTTTCCTTTCCAAATTGATATTTCTTGTTGGTCAGGAAAGCCAGTTTTTTGTTTCTCCTGACCCTCGTTCTTTGCGTGGTATTGGATGGATTATATATGAAGAAAACTCCCGTCTAACCCCTCCCCCAAACGCCCCGGAGCTCTGTCCCGGCCTTCGTCGAGCTCATGTTGAATGACGCCGGCCCGTACTGATATTATGCTTCGCTTGCTTCAATCCATTTCTGTTTCGCAGTTGAGGTGGACGTCCAGAAACCGTTCCTCGCCCAAAAAAAAAAAACCCTCCCTGGCAAGCTTATTTTCTCCCTCTCTGTTTTGTCCCTCTGGGACTAGCTGCCTTCAGATCTCCTTAGCCTGCCGCATCAAGTCCGATGGTACCAAAGCTTGCACTTCACTCCAGTTGCTCCCAGCGTCTCTCACGCAGGGGCTTCTCTTTGCCGGCCGCGGCTCTGGTACCCTCTTTCTCTTCCTTCCACGCCCAGTACTCGGCAAGGCGCGTTTCCGCATACGAGGCGTAATCAAAGTCGATCTCCGAGATGACGGCTTGGATCAAAGCCCAGATGCCCCAATAGAACCCCGGCACGCCGCGGAATAGGTCCACCTCGTGTGTGAGCTTTCGGACCTCCGCCTCGACATCAACATTTGTGTTGTTCTCGGAGTATTTGTAGAACGAGCGAATGTACTCCTCAATGAACTCTCGACGCTGGGACTGGGTAGGCATGAAGTTGTAGTCGCAGTCGAATCCACCCCACTCGGCCAAGTGGTTGGCGATATCGAACGCGGCTGGTGACGGCGTGGCATACTCGTAGTCGATGAACGTCACTGTAGCCTCCTTCTTGGGGCCTTTGGCGGGTTGGGTACTCGGTAACACGATCACGTTGCCGCTCAGCAAATCGCAATGGGCAAAAACTAGCTGTTACGAGATAACCATTAGCAACTGTATAGGATCTTGGCAGCTCTATGTGACTTACGCCATCAACACCTAGACCGGGGCGTTGGCTGAACTCCTCCACAATGTATTCAAACTCCTTCTGCAGCTTGTCTTGTCTCTCCCTCTGGACCTGTGTATCGCTGGGCAGGGCCAAAATCCATTTTTGCATCACTGACCATAGGTTCGGCACAGGCTTCCCAGGTGCAGCGTTCTCGATGATGGCATTCAGGTCCTGATCGTGGCCCTTGGCGTTGCCATTGGTAGATGTCTGGTGTGTAATGCAGGGCACAGTCGCGTGCCACTGCGCTAACCTGCTGGCGACGGCTCGATAGATGTGTGGCTTCCTCAGGTCCTCCGGGGCTGTGACGCTGCCCTTGATAAATCGGTAGAGCATGCCATTCTGGAATCGGGCGAGCAATTCGGGGGCAAGGCCGTGCTTCATGAGAAGTTCATGGTTCTGAGCTTCGCGCTCGCGGTCGATGAGGACAGCGGTTCCATTTCCATACGCGCGCAACAAGATGGCCTCTCTGTCTATATCCTCCTTGGACCAGCCCTTTCGCTTGTTGATGGCCTTGAGTAGGGTATTGGTGATGCCGTCGGTGAAGCGAACGAATTCGATGTTGGAGTCGTCGGAGGCCCAGTCTGGTCGAACAGTCAGGATTAGACTAGTCGCAGATTGCTGAGAGTCTTCGCTGTCGTAGAAAAGGGGAAGTGTTCGGACATGGGACAGCGCCGACCCATTAGGGTGGCCGTTGCTTGCACCTTGGGTCATGATTTGACCGAAGGGATGACCGAACTACGTGGGCGAAGGAAGGGATGGGTATGTCGAAAGGGCAGGGACAATACCGAAGAGGTCAATTGCTGGATGAGGAGGCCCCTGTGGAATTCGGCGGTTTGTTCAGTCGCTGGTGTTGTGCGACCTTGGCACTCTGGATGATGGCAGAAAGGGGCTCACGGCTGTCTGCGAGACGTCAAGGGGTAATGAGGATAGCGAGGCTGTTCAGGAGAGGAGAGGAGAGGTGCAGAAGGCTATGAACAAAGCGAGATACGGATAGTAGTAGGTCGATATGTTGGTGGTTCAGGTG